TGATTTTTTACAGAGAGGAAGGGAGAGGGTTAGAAGTTATAAACGTCGATGAGTGAGAAACATCGATCAGCTGTCTCCTGCACACCCCCTACTGGGGATGTGCCCGCAGCCAAGGTACATGCCCTTGACCAGAATCGAACCTGGTACCCTTCAGTCCGCAGGCCGACACTCTATCCACTGAGCCAAACCGGTTAAGGCTATAGTTTTATACATTTATTGTATATAACTTGATATTTTTTTGTATTTACTTTAGAAGAGAATTCAGTAAGGGAAGGTCCTTCTTAGACTCTATCCAAAAGGATTTAGTTATTGAAATACCAGAAATATTCTTGCTACAGCACATATTCTGCTCTAAGAGAAGACCCTTACTCCAAATTATAGTAAAGCATAAGGCTTGAAGATCAAATGTAAAGTTAAATTATCACTGTTTCTGCCTTTTATAAGCTTTCTGCCAGATATAGATACACAAGAAAATGATTTTTAAAAAAGAGGCTTGTGTGCTGATTAACACAAAAGCCCTGTGTTTCTGAATAATTTGGTGGAATGAAATTGTTTGAGCATCTGGTGTAATGGGGCAGGGTGCTTAAGGTGGAATTAGAAGTATCTGAAAGAAAAAAAAGCAAGCATTTGAGTAATCAGGCAATAGCTGAAGAACCTGCATTTAGGCTAAGGTTCCCCTGAAATGTTTTCTCTTCTTACTCTGTGATACATAGCCCTTGGGGTTAGACTCAAGAAATAGCCACAAAAGTAGAATTTTGGAGTTTCTGTATGTGAAATAGCTGCTCATGGGTAATGTTCTCTATCATGCCAATAGAACTTGTGCATCCATTTCCCTTATGACCTAGAGATAGTAATTGTATATCCAGGTTATGTGTGTATGTGCATGCCTAATGTATCTGTGCGTTTTGTGTGTTTTTGGCTTTGCACACCACTTCACCTTACCCCTATCCCTTGAACTGAGGTTCAGTAAATTAATTGCCCCCTGGCTGCTGGGGAGCCCCACAGGCACGGGGAGGGGCAGCTGCTCTGAGAGTGGGGTATGAGAAGTTCTCAGAGAACTTGCATTAGTATCAGGTTCACTTTGCAGAGCTCTGGCTGCTGGTTTCTCCTAATGAAGTTCCTGCCTATCTTGGATTCCTGGTCTATGCCTGCCTTGAACTCTGAGGCTACTGTAACTCCCAACTTCCTGCTTCTTCCAACTTCTGGTAACTGCTTACTTCTCCTACCTTCTTTCATGTGCATGGTGTCTGATCTGTTGTGCTTTCTTTTTATCTACATTGTTTAAAATTGCAAAGTACTGCATATTTTTACCTATCCTTCTAGACATAAACTTTTAAAAATAAAATGGGTTTGCATTATGGAATTGCATTATGCGCATTATTTTGCAACTTTCTTTTTCCTCTTGCCTGATATGTCCCAAGCACTCCATAAATACTTCTTTTTAAAAAAAATTAATTTATTTTCCAATTACAGTTAACATAAATATGATAGTAGTTTCAGATGTACAACATAGTGATTAGGCATTTATATCCCTTATGAGGTGATCCCCCGATAAGTCTAGTACCCATGTGAAATACTTCTTAAACAAATGTAGATGGATGGGGACAGGGGAGACAAATCATCAGAGATGGAGGAAGAGGACAGGCCTTGAATGGGATCGCCACAGGCAGGGAACAGGAGGGAGGAAATTTTCAGGGACGAGATTGGTGAAGAGTTTCCAAAGCTCCAGTCTGCTGAGAGGTAGGGGTCAGGGAGGACTGAAATCTTGCCATTCGCAGACCTTCAGGAGGGTGTGGGAACGGAGAGTTAGGTGTCAGTGAGTTGAAGGAAACAGCAAGGAGAGTCCCTGAGTGGCTGTTGGGTTAAATAATTGGAAATGAGCTTTATTTGAATTATGGGGAGTAGTCTTACCACTGCTTCACGTGACCAAATGTATCAGACTGTTCTGGTCTATGGCAGTGTCATTGGTTCCCCACATGACCAGCATCATTAGCGTCGCCTGGGACCCCGTTAGAGGCTCAAACTCTCAGGCTTAGCCAGGCACCCTGCACTAGAAACTCCAGCAGTGATGTTTTAATGCGGCTTCTGGGTGGTTTAGACATATTCTGAAGGTTGAGAGCCACTGGCCTGTGACATAATTTTGAGAAAAATTAGCACAATTGAGGTCTGAAATGTGACCTTCTGAGGGTCCTAAAACTAGGAGCCCCGACTCACAGAGCAGAGAGCAGGAGAAAGGAAGCACGGCCCCCGAGCCTGAAATGTAGTGGGGCTCAGCTTTCATCTGAGCAGATCGAAATATGAGCTGGGCAGCCTCATTCCTCCATCGAGTCTCAGATCTTTTGTTGTGACATTAAACATTACCCAGGGACATGTCTGCTTTAATGGAATGTGATTTTACTACTTTTATTAAAGGCCTACAATTCCCTA